CGCAGCCTCGGAGCGCAGGGCTGCGCGTTTGGGGAGAAATAGTTTTCACGCTATAGAAGTAATTGTCCTGAATTCCTGACGTAGCTGATGATACATTCCCGGAGGAATGGGGCTGTGTACCTTAGCCGGCAGGTACTCCCGCACAGGTGTCTAGCTGTCCCAGGAAGTTTTCTTCCTGTCGGTACTTTTCTGCGTTAAACGTGCTTGGAACATGGTTCTGGTCATCTGGTTGTTTTATTAATCTAATATGGCCACATCATTTCATCTTTAAGGAATTAGTAAGAAAAGCATGTAACTTTAAAGGGCATTTGTAAGGGTTCTTATTCTGACTTGTTGAGATAAGAAAACTGTCTGCCCGGAATCGGGGAAGGTAATCCTTCCTTTCTGATTTCTGTGATTTAAATCGTTTCAATCCGCGGTAATTTTTCTGGATGCTGTTAGTAACCGTTGTCACATAGAAGTGGGGAAGAAGCTAATTTTTCTTCTGAAGCTTCCATAAATACATTTATAAACCTTGGTAAGTTTTATTAAGAAGCACTGTCATAATCTGGAATAAAGAAGTGGTAGACCAACCGTATAGAAGATCTAATCTGTCAGGGATTGGAATTGGTTGCCCAGGGAGGTGGTGGAGTCACCACCCCTAGAAGAGGCATCTGGATCTGGCACTGGAAGATACGGTTTAGGGGTTACACCAGAGCAGCAGGTTAACGGTTGGACTTGATGATCTTAGAGGTCCCTTCCAACCTTGATAATTCTGTGATTCTGTAATTCCACTTCTGTGTAAGGAGGGAACAATAGGCAAAAGTATCCACAGGTATGTAACAAGCTATACCAGGAGCCGATGTGGAGGACACAGCAGTGCTGGTGCAGCCCTTGGAATGCCACTGGTGACTCATCTGCTGCAGGTGTCTGGGAAGTCTTGGAGCCTGAAGAGCACCAGGCTTGAAATATTTACACAGTATCCCAGACGTGCTGCTTTAAGCTTCCTTAATTCCATCAGCCTCACTGAATTGATTGCACTGAATTTGGTGCTCAACTTCAGTACTGCTCTGGTGTAAATGAACTGTACCTTCCTGTTTCCATTTCCCCTTATAGGGAAATGCCAGGCAGAGGCAAAGAAAAGCTGCTCGTGTATGGCACAGCCTCTGAGTTTGAGATGAGTATCTGTCACCAAGGGAACACCAAAGCTATTTTTATTTGGCATTTTCTCATCGAGAGCTGTATTAGAACGCCCCCATCTTATGGTGTAATGTGTGCAGGTGTAGGTAGTGCAGTCGGATGGTTAGTGAAATATTGTTGTGCCTTATCAGATCTCTGACTCAATCCCTCAGGGACACTTAACTGACATCTGACATTTTCAGTGTGTGTGTCTTCTGTTGGTGGAGATGTATAGTTACTGAAGATAACAAGGAGTAATCCTCCAGCTCTCCTTCTGCTGTAGGAATTGAGGGCTCATATTTTTCCTGCTTGCACCAGCAAAGCTTTCCAACACTTTCGTTGCTGGAAAAAGAACTTACATTTCCAAGTTTGTCTTTGCTCTTGCAGTGCTGTGCTGTTAATGCTCTTCCATACCAGTCTATTTTAAGACTAAAAGTAGTGTTCTCAAAAATCAAATCCATTTAGGGCCCTAAGTGCAACTCTTAAGTCCAAATTGGCACCCCTAACCCTTCTGAAGTTAGGTACCAATTGTTGAATTTTTAAACATACCTTTCAAGGCTATAAACCTATCTCTGCAGACCTGCCAGTTATTCTGAATATAGAAACCATTGCTGAGGGACAGAATTTCAGTATTGGATCAAGTCCATGATTTCTGTAGCCTCCTCTGTTTCAGAAGTGCCACAACAAGAGCCGTGCGGACAGCCTGACCTCTGATCCCAGGGGTTTGAGATAATCAAAACTAAGTTCATAAAGCCAGTTCTGTACTGAGAAGGTTATCCATAGATGTAATTCATGCCAGCAAGATGCTGGAAGCAGTAGGAGAGGTGCTTTTACTTTTTTTAGTTTAATTTCACTTTTCTTTTTTGCTATGGGACAAAACAGAAGCTAATGATTTCTCCAGTAGTCTATTTGGTGTGCTTAGATTTAGAGCAGAATTTATGTTGGAGTGGACTTCTGGAGGTCATGTAGCGTAGCCCTCTTCTCAAAGCAGGGCAGACTTAAATGTTAGGTCGGGTTGTTTTCCTTGGTTGGGTTCAGAAATGAATCAAGATTTCCACTGTCTCTGTGGGCAGCAGTCCCAGGGATGTCCCTGGCACATCTGTCCCCTGTCCATGTGGGGTTACTGCCCAGCTGGTCAGAATGTCACTTGTAGCAATTAGTGACTGTTGCCCCTTGCCCTCATTTCTGTTAGTCATTGGGTTAATCATTCCTTGCCTCACTCTGGAGAGGGGATTTTTTTTTTATGTTTGTGTGTCAATTCTTTCTTGTTGCCTTTCCAAGCATAACTGTATTCCAAAGGGACTTTTGGGAGCTATAAATTTGTACACCATGTGCTGTATTACACTGCTCTAGATCCTGAGTTAGTGCTGTCTGAATACTTGTGATTGAATAAAAAATAGTTACAAATACTCTCTCCTCTCCTTTTTACAGACATCCCTGGGATACAGTGATCAAAGCTGCTATGAGAAAGTACCCCAACCCGATGAATCCGTGTGTGGTAGGAGTAGATGTCCTTGACAGAAGCCTTGACAACCAGGGGAGGCTGCACAGTCACCGTCTTCTCAGCACGGAGTGGGGATTGCCAAGCATCGTAAAAGCAGTGAGTTTACAGTCTCAGTGCTTTATTGAGGGTGTGATGCACTTTATGTCATCGCTTGAATTGGAGCTGAAGTCAAAGTACGAGCTCAGTTCATAGGAAATGTCATCCACAAATATCACGTAATCTATGAGTAGCTTTCTTAGTAGCAAGAATGCTTCACAAGCTTTATCATGCCCACAGTGTGTGTATGTCCGTAACTGCCTTCCAGGCTGGTCTGTGCCATGCTGTGTGGCTGATACAACCTGCCAGGATGTAGTCTTGTGGTTGATCACAGCCTTCCTGGTATCCATCAATTACTTTGTATTTGTTTGGGGTCACTAAGAACTTGACATTTCTGCATTTCAAGGTTGAGTTTGTGTTTTTAGTTTTGGTACTTAACTCTTTTTCTTTCCCCCCCTTCAGATTTTAGGAACAAGTAGAACTCTAACCTACATTGAGGAACATTCTGTGGTAGATCCTGTGGAAAAAAAGATGGAGCTTTGCTCAACTAATGTGAGTGGTGACTTAAGGAGTTTCTGGTAATTAGTGCTGGAGATTAGATGTTTTGCTCTGAACATCTAGATTAGAAGTGTGTTTGTGTCTTTCATCAGGAGGCAACAATTTCCATGTCCTAGTTGGTGTCTGTTGACTCTTTTTTCTTTCTTTCTTCTTCTCACAAATAGGAAATTTAAATACTTTGGGATCACACATTTGTGATTCTGTTTTTCAAGAAAGATTATTTCTCAGATTGCATGTAAAATGGTTTGACTTTTAGAGGAATGAGATGCACTTTACACTGCCGTTTACAATGAAAGTTGTAAGGTGAAATCTCTTTTTTTCCCCCCAAATGTAAATGAAGTATTAGGCTACATTTTGATCTTCTGGGAAACTGTAACCATCAGATTTAAAATGGGGTTGTTTGTAGGAGGGCTTTATCTCTGTGTCTTTCCTGAGTATTAATTTTCTGTGTAGTCTAAGTACTGTTACGGTGGTCTTGGATTTGATGAGCCTCTCTGAATCACGTGCTGTAAATCAGACTTAATGTTCAGAGAAAGATTTGAATAGGAACTTAGATTAATGTAATCAGATCGAGGATAGGAGGAGATGCATCACCCTTTATGGGTCTTTTTATTGACTGTGTTCTGGGTCTTAAATTCCATGCACACTGCTTTGACATTGAATTGAGTGCTCTGCTATTGAGCAGTGCTGCTGATAACAGGAGGATGAAAGGTGAGAAGTGAGTATTTCAGCTCTTTTTTTTTTTAAATTCTTTTTAAGATTACTCTCACTAACTTGGTGTCTGTTGATGAGAGACTGGTTTACACACCTCATCCTGAAAACCCTGAAAAGTAAGTAAAGGTATTTGTGTGTGCCTTTGTGTATAGGAGGCATTGTGTTAGTCCAGTTCTGTTTAGGTATTAACCTTTCTTTATTCTCTTACAGAACTGTGCTAACTCAAGAAGCAATTATTACTGTTAAAGGCATTAGCTTGAGCAGTTATCTGGAAAGCTTAATGGCAAACACGATATCTTCTAATGCCAGAAAGGTACATCTTTATTCTGTTTTCTCCCTCTTTTCTCCCACCCCTCTTTCTTTTTGTTGAAATAGTAATTGTCAGTCATGTGTGTTAAATACTGTATTTAATTTCTCTTAATTTTGTACACAGTTTCAGTTCATTATTTTTTTTGTAGAATCTCAGCAAGTAGGTAACACTACACTGACTCCTTTGTCTTGGGCTTGCTATTTTCTACTCAGCTTGCAGCCATGGAGCTGCACTTCAGCACAGGCAGAGCTATGGGAGTGTTTATTCTTGGGCCCTTTGTCCTGTAGTTCTTTGGAGAAGATGGGAAAGAAATGGAGTTTCTATAGAGGCATAGGCATTGCTGCCTAACAGCAGGATGAGTGCACCTGGAATTAGAGTCTTTGCTCTGCGCTGCTGGAGAGGTTCAGCATAGTGGGAGTCTGGCCCAGGTAATTTCTGCTGTGCCAGAGAGCCTGTGCTTTGGTCAGCCCTTTGTCCTTGTGAGACATGTTGCATGGCCAAGGCACTGTAAGCCAACTTATTAGGAGATATTGACCAACTAGGTCAGAGAGGAGAAAGCCTCCTCCTCCCTTCTGTGTGCTTCTCCCAAAGTGACAGGAAAACATGTTACAATCAGGGGACAGGAAAGGTGTGATGGGTCATTTCTAGAGCTGAGTGCCCTGTGTGTTTGAAATTGAATGTACTTCAGTTGAATTGCAAATCTATTCTGATCCAGTTTCCAATTAAAAGTCTGTGTGGGGCATATATTCATGAAACAGGAGTCCAAACCCTGGCTCACAGCCAGACTTCAAACTGACTGGAGGTAGCAAAATACTAGCTAGTTGGCCTGTACAGATCAACTAGGCACACTTAAGAATGCTGTCTGAATTCTTCTCGTGGCAACTGTCACATTTGCATGTCCCCACTGAACTCAGAGAAAGAGAGTGTTTCCTGCTACCTGTTCAAGTTTCAAGCTCAGTTTCTTTTAAAGATTGTTCTTTTCTGCCATTTCCAAGGAACACACTGGCTCACAACCTTCTTGCAATTCAGAAAGACCTTCTTGTCCCGTGTATTTCACTGAGGAGTCTGTAGAGATTTTTGACCTTGGCAGGAATTTGTACTTGCTGTTACCAGACCTTTGTTTGCTAGCCAGTAACCTGTTCTGCCACTTCTTTCATGCTGTGCTGTGTCTCTGTGCACTCAGCACCCCTCTTAGACTTTGTGAAAGTTGCTGAAAAATGTTTAGTTGTTCTGAAGAAACAGGAATTATGGAGACTTTGCTCTGAGGTTGAGGTGGCAGATGATGTTGTGGCAGATGATTGTTGTTAATGACAATGGAAAATGCATTTGCCATATGTTGTAAATGTTTTTTGTGTCACTCCAGGGGTGGGATGCTATTGAGTGGATAATTCAAAATTCTGAAAGCGCGCTAAGCTAGCAGTTCTCCACATCTACAGTTTGTACTAACTAGTGGTAATGCAGCAATTCTTCTTCTTGGTACAGCATTTCAGCTTCCTAGCAAATATGTGCATGGACTGTTGTCACGTGACTTTCATAAATGAGCCTGCATGGATGTTTTACACACATTGCATACAGGAATGGCAGATGTGTTCATTACACTGCAGCTGGAGAGGGTGAGGCTAGGTCTGACCTAGGCTGGATCCATTAACCTGTGCTTATGCCACTGGGCAACCAACTTGCTGCAGCCACGTCTTGTGCCACACAGTGTTGCTTGTGGTTGGAAAGTGGAATGGTGACTGCAGACAATTAGGATGTGAAGGAGTCCCTCTGCCAAGTGTTTGGTCTGGGCCTAGTTCCTTTCACTTCTGTATGTAAATCTGATACCTGAAGAAATGAATGAATTGGTTAGTGAGTGGAATTGGCATTATAAAAATGCAACAGGACTTTATTCTTAGGATATAAAACTGATTTCTTGAAACAGATTGCCTAACAGGAAGAATCTTTTGCAGAGTAGAATTCTATTTTTTTTTTCTTTTTTATGCCTGGGGAATTTTGTTGCCCTTCTGTGGAAATCTGTACAAAGCTGGAAGCTGTCAGGATGCCAGACTGTTCCTGCTTTTCATTGGTCTTGTAGTTGTACTAATTTCGGTAGTGACATGTCCCTTCAGTGATGTGACTCCGATCAAATCTGACTTCAGGGCTGAGAGAACTGAGTGTACTTTGCTCTGTGATACCTCTGTGCAGATTGATTTCCACTAGTCAGTGTAGCCTGTCCCTGTCATTCCTGTATTGGCTTGTGCTTCAGCTAATAAGATTTCTTAAAGAAACAATCCATTATGCTGCTTCTCCTAGTTAAGAAATTAGGGCTTTTTTACATGGCTTACTCAGAGACCTGTGTATGCCATGAGCGTTTGCTTTCACTTTCTCATTCCACTAAGCTTTTATGGCTGGTTTTTTTCTGGAAAACATCAACTAAGGAGGCTCAGCATTTATCACTCACTTAAGCTGTACCAACAGATCTTCATGTGCAGCGCTTGTTCTGCTGGACACGTCATGCTGCTGCTGACATCTGCAATAGTGACTAATACAACATGCATGCCTGGGTATGAATGTGCTTGCTTAATGACTGACTACACGGTTTGTTGTACAGTGTGAACCTTTACAGACCAGTCCTCTGTCAGATTTTTTTTTTTTCTGGTAACTGGGTAGTTTTATAGGTACTTGGAGGCTTTACATCTGGTTGAGATTTCTAACTTAATTTCTTGTGCAGAACATTCCAGAGTTCTTCCTTGCCAGCATCATGAGTTTGTTCTTAGAAATGCAGTATGTAGTATATGCAGGTCTAAGGAGACATGCAGGCCTCTGTAGTCTCAAAAGCTGAAGGAAATATCATGGTGCTCCAGTGGAATGTCATGGATTTTTTAAAATTTTATCTTATCAACAGAGATACCTACTAAAACACTGTGATGTGGTTGTTGCATAGTCAGGGCCTGAAAAGACTCTCAGTATTTTTCTACTGAGCGTTTTTCTGTGTCAAAGGTGTTTGACTTTCTGACAAGCCTTTGTGCAATTAGACAAATATCACACCTACACTGTTGCTGTCTCACTCCCTCCTCTGCGCCTGTGTCACCTCCGTGAGGACATTTTACCCTGACTTTCAAATGTCCAAAGGCCTGCTTAGTGAAAGGTGATTTCCCCTCTCTGCCCACCCCTCTCTGCCCCGTTTTCTCTCACTAGGCACTCCTCAGCGAATTCCTGGCTAGCTACAACTTGTTGCTGTGCAGTAACTGACTCCTGCCTGGGTGCTTTTGTGCATGTTTTGCTGGTGTTCCCAGGTCTTGCACAGCAAGTGGAGAAGGTGGAAGTTAACACCTGCTGAAGGTGCTCAAATGGAAGGAACTCAAATGTTAAATCATCCCCTTCTGAAGTCTTTTTTCAGCAACCCATACTTAAACTGCACAATTTAAATCATGCTTTCTTGAATATTCTTGGTATCTTTTAAAGGCATATCTTGAACTAAGTTCACTTCAACATACTAGTTCTTGAGATAATTTGGGTAGAGCTGAATCTCCCTTTCTGAGCTTTGGCCAAGAGCCAAACACTGTTGTTGTGATAAGTGGATGAGTTTTCTCAGTTTCAGGGCTGCCTGCCAGTGCAGACATAGCCATTAGTGTTCATTCTGTGAGTGCTGTAACATGGAGCACCCAAAGAGATACAGAGTCAGCCCTTTCACTGACCTTACTGAGGGTCCTGAGATAAATATGCTCTTATTCATAGCACTTCTTTTAAAAGGTTGCACTTTGCAGCCTGGATCTGGGCTTTTAATATTATTCCAGAGTAATGTTTCTAGCCTGAAAAAATGTCCTTCAAGAGTGTGAGTGGGTTTTGTTGTGACATTTGTTTTCCCTTAGGTTTTCAAAACTGCTTATGCAGATTCTTGTTGGCGCTTAGTGGTTTATGAAAGACAACAGCGTGTTCTGGACATTATGAGGTTTCTGTGCACTTTATCACTTATAATGCCTACAACAAAATTAGTACCAAATTAGTTGGAGCCAAACTCTGTGTGTCTGTAGGAGGGTGTTCCAGTGTTCCCCTCCTTTGTGTCAGGCTCTGCAGAGAGCTTGAATACTGACACTGGCTCTCCCGAAGATTTAGGACTTTTTAGACTCAAATCTTTATCTCCAGAACTTTAGACTTGGTCAGAGCCATGTGGCTCTCACTTACTGCTCTCCACAGTTTGTGCTTCTTACTCTTAGAGTAATAGAGGTGAATGTCTCTTGTCTTCTCTTCAAGTGAACACAAGCCAGGTGTTTTCCAGGTCTGATCCCATCTGCTTGCTTTGCTAAAAGCTGCTATTCTGAGATTGCAGAGCTCTAAAATCTTGCACTGTTGGTTAGTTAAAGTACTTCTCTTTATTTTCCTGGCTTCATTGTGCAGTTGGCTGCATCTTGTGGTCATCGGGGTACAGCTGCTGCAGGGTCTTCTTAAGGTAAAAGGTTTTTGACATGCTTATTGTGCTGGATTCTCCAGCTCTTACTAAAGCACTGGCTATCAACTCCTAGCTTGAGGCACTTCCATTCTGAGGACAGAACAGGGAAAGACCATACCTTGGTATAAAATGTGTGACCAGTCTCTCAGTTATTCTGGTTTAGATGCTGAAAAGTTGCTGTGCATGAATACAGAATTCAGTGAGAGTTCAGCTCTCAACTCTTGGTCGATATCAGATCACTTTTTTGCTACTTCGAAGTGCACTTGGAAGGCTTTGTCTCTTCTCAAAAACTGTCAATATCACTTGGCTGATGAATCTGAGAACAGTATCTAGATTTTGCTCTAAATTTGCTCATATTCTTTGGGTGGTAGGAGCAGCAAACAGTAAGAACAGGGATCGTCTTAGGCAAGGAAACTTCACTGCTGAATTGGGCCTTTTGCCTAGGTGTGCTGCTGAGAGCTCACACCAGTATTGCATCTCCTTCTGGCTCAAGAGTTAAGCAAATGTCTTTGCAGTGAGATTTCCATAAGAATTCCCATTAGAAATTATCCTTACAGTCTGGTATCAAACTATGCAGGGCATGAAATTAATTTTAAATCAAGTCTCATGTCTGACAGAGGAAAAACTATAGAAACATGAGCAGTGGTGGTGTTTCTGTTCTGATCCTAAATTCCAGTATCTTTTTCTCTGGCAGGGTCGGGATGCCCTGGAGTGGGTAATCAGCAAACTAAACACAGAACTGGAGGAGCTGAAGTCAACGCGTGAGGGCATGAAACCAGCCATGGCAGCAGCGTCCGCGGGAAAATAAAACCAAATGTTTGGTTTCACCAAATCAAACCAAGTAACTGACAGAAAAGTCTTACTCTGCAGGTTGCTCTGCAGAGCTTCCTTCCACGGCTGATCCACGGAGGTTTTGTGTATTCATAAGAATATTGGATCAGCAGAAAAGTAACCTCATCTCTCATCTCCACAGCAGCTCTTGTTGCCTACTGAAGATTAAATTGACCTCCTGCAGATGCTCTTTTCATTTAAACAATTAATTTTTAACACTGGAAGTAAACATTTAGCACATTTAAAACAGCCTAAATGTGCCTTTTGTAACGAAGATAGAGAGTATGTTATATTTACACCGTCTCGGTTTGTTGTACTCAAGCTTGAAAAGAATGTGTGGGATTAAGGGTTTTCCATAGGAACTTTTGTTCTGTGAAGGGCTAATAGCTACTGGAGCACTGAATTTTGTCCATTTTGTAATCTGATAGTGTCTTATGGCCAGTTAAATGCAACTACATGAGTCAGAACATGATACTGTAGAATTAGATACTTGTCTAGAGGGTCATCCCAAAATGCTACAACTTGTGTGGAACTGACTTTTCTCATGTTGGCTAAATGTGCTGCCCAGACGTGACACGCAGGTACTTTACCTCTTGGATGTTTGTATCCAAACAAAGATAAAGTTTCTATTGATGTTCATAGCCTAAAATAGTTTTTTGTTGGGGAGAAAGGGTATAATTTATTTTCATATTTATTAACTTGCCCTAGTTTCTCCCTTCCCTATGAGGGCAGGAGTAGTAATTGCTGGAAGGGGCTGGGACTTGTTTATCTCTAAGAAAGGTACTTGTAGGCTACTTGAATGAAGAGACTGTGCTGTTCCACTGGCCCTTGCTCTTCACATTGTGTCTTAACTGAGGGAGAAACTGATGCAGTAACCAGAAGAGTTGAAATGAGAAATGAGCAGGAAATTGGAAATCCAAGTGCTAAGGTTTCATAAACAGGAACCTTTCATTCTGTGAATGGACAAAGCAAGAGTACAAGAAGAACAAATGGAGTCTCCTTTTTGTGTGCTTTCTATTAACTACTGACTACCAGTGTAACGGAATTTTTTCCACACAGTTTTTTCCACATTGGTACAAAATGGTTTTAGAATAATTTTAACTGCTTCTCATTATCTGGAAAAACACTTCAGTAACTGCAGAAACTGCTTCCTATAAAACATGCATAAATATATATTGGTAACAATCCTAACCTGTCTGATGTTTACAAACTTCTTGTGTTTCATCCAGGTGTAGTAGGTGTTTCCTAGACAACCCTTTGTTAGGGCATTTTAAATTATTTCTTGGTGTGCACACAAAGAATGTTGCAAGGATGTTTACTTGTTCAAGTGGCAAGCATGTGCGTAGGAAGCCGTGGAAGAGCATGAGTGTCTTCTAAAAATCTGGAACAGTAAAACGTTGGTCACTGTTTTGATCTGATTCATTTTAAGATGTCTGTGGCTTAAGGGAAATTCCAGCATTCATATTCTGGTTAGTTTGAAAGTGAACACTAATTTGGGTGTAACTAAGTTACATGGTCCTAATGAATAAACTTAATTTTAAAAACTGTATATTAGTTGAAAGCAATTAAATGAATAGCAAATATTTGCACTGCTCGTTCTGTGTAGACCTAAAGCCTTTCATCTTTTGGAAGAGAAACTTGGAGTGTAAAGGCTGATAGCAGCCCCTTTCTGGAAGATGCACTGGATAGCTTTGGTGCAGGTCAGTTGTTGTGCCCTTGTCAGAGGAGTGGTGCCACTTCCTGGGTAAAGAATGCGGGAGATTTTCCAGCTCCTGGTGGTGCTCTGGTGGGAAGGGCAGTGCAGCTATGACAGAGCTCTGCAAACAAAATGAAGGGCTGAGTAAGTGTGTGTGATTGTGGAAACCTGTGCTGCAGCATTTCTGTGCATGCCTGCTGGGGGTGATGAAAACATGACTGTCAGCAAGGGTAGGAAAGCATTTGGAGAGGTTTCTGTCTTGCTTTGGTTTGGAAGAAGACTTGTGTAAAGCTGCTTCTTGCATCAGATTTGAAATACTTGCTTAGCATTGTCTTAAGACTGACTTGTGAACAGCACCTTCCAGCACTAGTTGGCTTCCCAGGAAAGTCACCACAGGCTCCTGTGTTCCTTCTGGGCCTGAACCTCTCTGCCACAGCAGAGGGACAGTACCAGCTACACATGGGTTTTACGGATTACTTTGCACTTTGTTTCCTTCTTCTAGAATCTGATCCTTATCTGCTTCTGTTGCAGCACCACCTTTCTGTTTCATTCCCCATTGCTTTTGGGCTGCTTTCCCTCCACATTTTGGGCCACTTAGGAACTATATGGCTAGATGCTTGGTTTTCCAATCTGTCTGCTGCTGCACTTGCCAGGAATCAGCACCTTTTGTCCTTGCACTCAGTCCTCTTCTGCTTTTCTCTTGACTAAATGTGAGTGGGGAAGCTTTGGGTAGGAAAAAGACTGGGTTTTTTTTCTGGAGACCATTTCCATCACCCAGCTGCCTCTCTCCACTGCTGGACAGTGTTGCTGCCATAGGTGATAGTTCTGCATCCGTGAGATTATTGGTCTTCCTGTGGTTGCAACGTTTTGCCATTGTGTGCAAAGGACTTTGCAGGCAGTGGTCATACTAGGACTGGGTGGGCTCTAGTCCTAGTCTAGTGCAGCAGATGAAGTGGTTCTTAATTTCCCATAAGCTTTCCTGGGCAGTTTTCACTCTTCTGCTCTCTGCCCATCTAGTTTGCATATGGAGTTCTTATCCTTCTTCCTTGACCATGTTACTCTTCTCTGTGGGATCTGGTGGCATCTGTAGCTGTGCATTACACTGTTTTTGAAGCGTTCCATTTCCCACTCCAGTTCTTCCACTGTTACAATCTGAGTTGACCCTTGGGCCAAAAACCCCTCTGCCTTTGGAATTGTTCATCTCAGTCCTTCCTTGAGAAAGTTTCCCTGTCTTTTTTTTACTGGAAATAGCTAAAGAGTATTTCTGAAGTCAGTTTTATGTCATGTACCTTGAGGTGTTCGTCAAAGACAGCTGCATGTGAGGGAAAGTGTTAGGGTGCTTGCTGGAGCAAGGGGATGCAGCTTTTTGGATTGGTGCAGAAATGGCCAAGTATGTAGGAGGGAAAAAAATTATAAAGCAGAAACGGTGTTAAAGTCAACACTCATTAACTTGAAAGGAGCTTCAAATGCTGGGGGCCAAGCAGAAGAAAGCTCAACACTTGTAACTGTGCTGATTGTGGTAGCAAGTGCCATTTTGAGTAAGAATTCTGCACTTGGAGAGCTGAAAATAGAATTCAAGTTGAATTTTGTGAGTTGGGAGAGAGAGGTTGGTTGCTATGGTTGTTCACGCTGCTGAGGCTGGCAGTACTGCAATTCAAGGGACAGGGAATAGCTGTGTGCTGTAGGTATGTGGTCTGATTTTAAGACTTTGGTGCTGGTATATCAAATCTCCAGATTGGTTAGGATTGTGGCTGCTCCCCCTGCCCAGGACCTATGGTTGTGTGACACACACCTGCTGTGGAAGGAAAACACTGGGAAGAGCTGGTTCCTGACTGCGGGAGAAACAGCGAGGGAAGATGGCAGTGGTGGTTCCCAGAGTGTGGCAAACTGGATGTGTTAGCTCTTGGCACTGAAGAGTTTGAAGATGATGCTACCAAACTGGAGGTAAACTCTGGTTTCTTGGCTGATGTCTGGTTTTCATGCTAGTGCTGACAGGCTCGTGTTAGCAAGGAAAGGCATTAACTTAAATCAGTGCAGTTATTGGTCTGGTACCTAATTAATCAGTTTCATGTAGGTTATCTTTGTCCTTTTGCTTGTTTTCCTGATTTGCCCTTGTGCCAGTGTGAGTCTTCCATGTTCCCCCATGCTTCTTTTCCCCCATGGGGTCAGCAGACAGGATGGGGGAAGGGTTGTATTTGTTGGGATAACAGGCAGTTCCTAGCAACAGCTCCTGTACTCCTGAAGGACTTAATACAAGCAAAGGCACTGAGGTGCAGCAGGTGGTGTGTCAAGGATTGCTGTATAGCACATACCCAGCATTGATGTGTCTGACAACGTAATAAAGTAGCACTGAGTAAAACAACTACTGACATTCCTTGATGTGACACTTATCATTCAAATCTTCAGATGGATGGATGGTTGGTAGGTAACACCTTTCCTGCGCTTTCATCTCCCTAGACTGTAAGCTGTGAAGGGCAGGACTGTGTCTATGTTACACCATGATGCTCTTTGAAGTAAATGACATGTGCAGTTTAAAAAAACACTTCTGGGTGTAACTGCTGTAACATCAGATGCTGGTTTTCAGAGAAGGCTGCAGAAAAATCATTGCATTAGTCCATGCTGGATAAGCAGCAGGACCCAGTCCCAGGATCCCTGGAGCTCACTGTAAGCCACATGTCACACCAGTCAAAAGCTCTGCAGGAGTTCTCTGGGCCTGAACTGGTAACTCCATTTGGGAATGCCAGCTGCTTCATTTTGCATTAAAACAGGAAAGAGTTATCTGAAATGATTAGCCTTGACTTGTAAATAAGACCTTATTTATTTAATAAACCACCTTCTTCCCCTCCCACCAGTACTTGCCACCTGTCAGAACCATGCAGGTTATGGGCTAAGCCTTTTAATCACAGCTCCAGGAAGCAGGTCATGCTTTCACTATGGATTTGTTCAATGAAACAGCATTTTTGTGAAGCACAAGTCCTGTCCTTTTAATTTTTCCACAGCTGAAGTGATTGAGGTATGATTCTTATTTTACTGGAAGGCACCTGCAAGTGAAATGCTCAGTAAGGGCTCCTGATTTGAGGCCCTGCTGGTACAGTACCTTCCCTTCCACTCCACTACAATTTTGTTTCTGACCTAGCTAAGACCTGCAGCAGCTAAGGCTCAGGGTCCTACTTGCCCAAACAAATGTGGAACATGCCCTTGCCAGCTGTGGTCTGGAAGAAGTGATGCTCGTTGTCTTTACACTTAGCTCAAGAAAGCGAGAGCAATGCAGTCATTTTAAAGAACTTTTTATTAGTAATGCATAAACAAGAAATTGCATTTCAGTACCACATAACATGAAAACAAGCAGAAGACAATTCTGTTGCCTTTCTCTGTTAGAGCTGATGCCTCTGGTGTACCTGAAGCTGCACAGACAATACATGCACAGTGACAGCACAGAAGCAGAAGTTTGAAGGGGGAGGGTTTGTGCTTTGGGCCTGTACATGTCCAAAAAGTGCAAAAAATCCTGTTTGGGATTTATTTCTTTTTTTCCTTTATTAAAGAAGGGGGCTAGGGAGGAGGAAGAAGAAACAGCTTTAACAGAACTACAACTCAAATACACTCATTATCTTCATTCTGCTCTCTCAGTGACAGCACAGAAGCAGAAGTTTGAAGGGGGAGGGTTTGTGCTTTGGG